AAAAGACCCCTTTACAGTTGGAATTTGATATAAGAGTGCGGCTGTCCGGGCAAAATTTCCCTCATAGCACATTGTATATCGTATGGCCATCTTCATTAGCCCAGTTCGGAGCAGAACAGTAGGACGTTAAACCCCATTTCATTGCATTTCATTTCAGGACTCCATTTGAAAAACGGGTAATCACCCTGGTCTCAATGCACAAGGAATCCAAGCCGCGAAACCGGTACGACAAACCTACGTTTACTGCTTAAACTATAACGACTCGAAACGTTGCATGTTAATAAACATGTAATTGATATTCCAAATTGTGTTACTGTTTAATTACTAAATGCCATTTAAAGAGATTTTAAACTATTTTAGTAGTGCAGAAAACGTTCAGCGTCCAGGCTATTTTATTTTCATAATTCTAAAAACAACAGGCATAATCATTAACTGGCTTTGAGACGCTATGGATGAGAATGTCGTTGTTTGAGACGGAATGAATGCAAATATTGCGGAAAAGTGTTTCTTTGAGACGGAATGAATGCAAATATTGCGGCAAAGTAGTTTAATGAAACGGAATGAATGCAAATCATGCAAAAAAGTGGTTGAGACGGAATAGGTGCAAATCATGCGTGAAAGTGGTTTGAAGCGGTAAAATGTTGTGTTTTAGGGTTACCAATTGGATGCTAATCATGCGACAAAATATTGATGTTGCTTTTTTAAGAGTTACAAATTTGAGTAATATACATAATATGTTTTTGTAAACACTTCTTTTCTGGAATAGATGGCAATATTAATAAGTCATACTTGTCATATCGTAATAAAACACTATAATTTTTCTTTTTATTTTAAGCTGTTTATATTATTCTATAGAAATTAATAAGTCTAAAGAAGAGCAAGAGAAAGGATGTATACAAAATATAAAACAATAATTGTATAGTGAATCGTTGATGCGTATTAACTTATTTTTCTATTTGTTATCTATGTTTAATTCGCTCGTATTGTTAGTATACATCAGATGATTGTAGAAATCAATAATGGGCTCTTTGATATTTGCTTTACAACGTGCAGTATTCGGAACATTACACACGACACCTTCTGTAGTTTATTTTATCTTAAACGGTTCTGGGAATTTCCGTGGCTGCGATTATTAGTAAGGGCACACTGGGCGATTTAGTCTTGCCACCCTACCAACCACCTGTCGTAATTTCCCATATAGTTTGTTGGCGATTTCATTTGACAACCTCGCATACACTGATCGACCATGGCCGGTTTATCGTCAGTCCGGTGCTCCTACCTGATAGCACCATATTGATTTGATAATATTGCGTACAGATCAATTATAGAGGCATTTTTTCAACAAGATCTGTTTCTGACATATTATCTAAGATTTTAATTGGATAGTAAATCATATCATTAAAAAATATTTGGTTCAGTTTTACGTAGTTGGGACAAGAGACTTATTATCAATAACAGCAAGGTTACAACTTTGAGAGAATATCAATAACGGCAAAGCTACAAATTTGAGAAGGGGGGGAGGGGGTAAGGTCCTCTCTACAACACGTCGGCCATTTCGGGACTATATAACTTTAGTAGTGGACGGAAACCGGGGGACCCAGAGAAAACCCACGAGGATGGACAGGCGATCCTGCTCCTTGTCATGTACAAGTGTGAGTTCGAAATCACGTTACTGCACCTGTTAGGTTCCCCAACCTTAGTTACGGATAGGTTTAGGTTTAAAAACACACGGCCGAAACCTCTTGCATTAACATTGGACATAACGATATGACATTTACGTTTCTAGGCTATTTTCATTTTAGCTTCTGTGTGAGACAAATGAACTAAAATGAAATGGGGTTTAACGTCCTAGTGTCCTGCTCCGGGTGGACTAATGAAGACGGTCATGCGCCATAAAGTGTGCTATGAGGTAAATATTGTCTGGACATCGTCTCTACGGCCTACTCTTATTTCGCATTACAACTGCCAAGGTTTCTGATTTCTGATGTGTACACGGGACATCGTTTGTTTTGTCCCATCCGAACGACTACACGTTGTCCCTTGTCAGGCCCGCCGTTCTCCAAACCGGAAAATCGCAATGAACTTTATTGACCAACACCGGAATCCAAAACAGGACCTCCGAATAAGCGAGCCAACGTCTTACGCACTAGGCCACCGCGGTTCCCAGAATAAAACAATAACTATGGTTTAACATTTTTCTGTTTTAATTGAATTAACAAGTTATGATTAATATTTGATAGTGAAGGCGAGACAATGAGATCGCTATTATCCCATGACACAATGAAATCGCTATTATTCCAGGAACTAGCTATTGTGATCAAATATTCTGACAATTATTGGACAAGCTAATTAGGCTAATTAGTTAATTGATTTCATAATTATTCAAATATTTCATGTGTTCATGATTTATAGCTTTTATTGTTTCAATCTGTCATTTTTATCCAGTGATATGATGTACAGTTTTACAGAATTCACTAATATTGATGGGGGGCGAGTGAGATCGTAAGCTATGTCATTGTACGTTACAAGGTGTTACAAGGTGTCGGGGGGTTGGATGGCTGAATGGTTAGCGTGCGCGCGCTGTATCATAAAGTCTGTCATTGAGTCGACTGGCGTGGTTTCGAATCCCCGGTTGTTCGTGGCAAGGAGTAGGGTCGCCTGTCCAACCTCGTTGGTTTTCTCCGGGGTCTCCGGTTTCCTCCCACTGCTAAAGACCCCTACGCGCAAGCGAATTATGTAAATAAAATTAAAACCATATGTTAGTCCCGAAATGACCTAGTTTGTGTCGAGTGGACGTTAAACGTCTTCATTAGCCCAGTTTAGGAGCAGAACAGTAGGACGTTAAACCCCATTTCATTTCATTTCTCTCGTTACAAGGTGTAGGGTCGCCTGTCCATCCTCGTAGGTTTTATTGCAATAGAAATGAAATAAATGTTCATCCCTAAATGAGTTTGTTTGTGTCGTGTGGACGTTAACCCTTGTCGGTGCACGTGGGTGTCCGTGGACCCCATGCACATGTTTTATAGTGTTTTGTAATAGCTATTGGGTACTGCTTTCTGAAATTTAGTGACTTTGCTATACATTTTTACAGGTAGCATATCAGGCCCAACGATTTTGCTACTAATGGGTTTGCTGTCTGATACCATATTGAGTATGCCAGAGTATTCTCTCTTTTAGCATCTGCATGTTACAAATACCAAAAATTAAATGATAAATTCCAAATATTCAATAGTTTTTGTATCAAGCGTGAATTGCCATTTAACCTCTTTATCACATAGCACACATAGTAGCAATTTTGTGAGAATTATTAAATCTTTTCCATATGTCACTAAAATGTTTTTGGATAAAAGTTTAGTTGTTTTTCAGGTGTCAAATATGATTGCAAATAAAAAGCAAACCGCTGCCTTTTAATTCAAGTATATCTGTACGTAAAAAGTTTGAGTTATAACTAGGGTCCATGGACCCCATGACACCTGCTATGGGAATCTCACAAGGATTAAGCTCTCTCTCTCCCTCTCTCTCAAACCAATTACTATCCCTTTTAAAGATTCAGCTATCAACATCCCTCCGATGTCGATCAACAGGTTTATGGCAACCTTGAAAAATGATCAGACCTTTCTTTTGTTTTCAATGGATTCATGATAAGAATTATCGTGCATCCTAAATAATACATAAAGACATTAGAGGCCATTATGTGATGATGCCTCAATTTTAACCTAGATACTGAAAGCATTTTTCATCAATAGAGAAATTCGGAAAAAAATGTTGATTTCATATCTCTTCTCTTTTTTTAAATCTTCAAATCTTTTCTCATACGGGGGGGGGGGGGGGGTGTGGGGTGGATGGCTTAGTGGTTAGCACGTGCGCGCTGTATCATTAAGTCTGTCATTGAGTCAACTGACGTGGTATCGAATCCCCGGTTGCACGTGACAAGGAGTAGGGTCGCCTGTCCAACCTCGTGGGTTTTCTCCGGGTCCTCCGGTTTCCTCCCACTGCTAAAGACCCCATACGCACAAGCGAATTATGGAAATAAAACTGAACCATACATTAGTCCCGAAATGACCTAGTTTGTGTCGAGTGGATGTTAAACCCCATCTCTCTCTCTCTCTTTCTTTTCTCATACACGAATAACAACAGAAAGACATCCGTACAAATGATTCTGCATTCTATCTTCATTATATATGGATGATATTACACAAAATTTCTTCTATGTACGCACTTGCTATGTTGAAATTCGAGTTACATTTTGGTTTAAGCTTGATTTTTCTTCACAATCTTACTTTACTTTCTAACTTCAAATTTATCTAAAAGCTTTAAATATACTACGGTTGGGTTACCGCTTTCAATAGCCATTATCATGTAATGAGAGTGGAATGGGTGTCGGAGGTCGGAAAAGTTTTTTTTACGTAAAATCATCAATGCAACATGTACCCAAATAGAATTTACATCAAATTTCTTATACGTAAATACGTGATGTGTTGACATTCCAAGCTATGTTTGAGTTTAATATTATTTCTCAATCGGACTTTACTTCCTGATTTTAAATTTTCTGAAAGTTTTACGTATACCACAGTTGGCCGACAGCCTTCTTTCGTGATTATCATGTCATGGAGGGACGTTGGTGTGGGAGAAAGCCTTTTTTACGTACAACCACCTAATATGCAAAATGTATCTCTAAGAGAATTACACCAAATTTCTTCGGCGCACATACGTCCCCAAGCTATGTTTGAGTTTAACCTTATCTGATACATTACTTCAAATTTAAATTTTTCAGAAAGTTTTTAAAACCCTATAGTTGGATTACATCCCCCTATTCGCCATTAACATCTCATTGGAGATGACTGGGCGTTGTGGGTCAGAAAGCTTTTTTACGCACAACCATCAAATATGCAAGTTTTAAATGCACTATAGTTGAGTCACAGCCTTCATTTGTGATTGCCATGGAGTACAGAAAGTTTATTTTTTATGGAAAACCATCAAATATTTAAAAATGTACTTACTGGTTTGAATGACCAGGACCAGTAAAATCTTCAACACAAAAACATGCTGTAAATTGTTCAACATTTTCACCATCATGTTTCGCCGTATTACAACACGTTCATATACTCCTGGAAATATTTAAAAAATTAATCCAATCCTGTTCCACGGAGACACAATTCTCGATTTTCACAAATGAATAACTTTCCAACGACAATAGCACATTTTGTTATTGATGCACATAAACATACACACAGCAATGCGCAGGTCACAAATCGAATACTAATCTGTCTCAATCGGGAAGTAACACCATTTAAACTTTCTTTCTTTTTTTCTGAATAAAAAACAAATATTTCTCACAGACAAAATTAAGCAGTTTCTAACCGAAAGTACTAGTTAAAAAACACATTTCTTCAAAATCCAGTGGCAGGGGAAAAATTTATGTATTTAAGAATATATATATTTTTTTTTCAATGAAAAAAATACGAATTAGTTTTTCAAATCGAACACTATAAAATAATCCTTGCTAATCCTAAACCAGCAGTTATATTTGCAACAAAACAAGAAGCAGCTCGAAGAATAAGTTCACAAATTCACAATATATATTATCCATAGAACTGTTGCTTTTATTTATTTTCTTGTATTATCCCGAATCTGTTCTAATCTTTACTAATCCTGAAATAGTTCAGGTGTTCTTTTTAAAAAAAGCATTAGCTTTAAGAATAAGTTTCACAAATCCACAATTTGTATTATCCATAGAATACTGTTGTGTCTATTGTCTTGTATTGTCTGTTTTTCTCTGTCCAATTAATCACAAGTTGGCGATCGTCGAATCCACATAATGAAATACTCACAATTTATTTATTTCTCCCTTATACAGTACTTAAGGTGATTCATGTTGTAATACAATAAATCCATATTTTCTTGTGTTGTATCCATTTTTTATGTGATTGAAACACGTTTCACCCAGGTAGTCCACATTACATCAATACATATCAATCTATATCAAACACTCTATACGATCCAGTTTTTTTGTTTGCTTAGAAATTAGTTTTGTTTTTAGACTTTATCTAATGAATTGGCAAAATGTCCGTTGTCTTATTTTACCTGTAACTTATATATCTGTACTGATATTACGGTTAGTTTAATCATTCATTTAAACATCAAATCAACACTTCAAGACAAAAGAATTCAACAGTTTGTTGTTTAGAAATTGGCTTTGTCTATGGACTATCAATTTACATATAGCTCACATATGCCTACCTGTGTTGATATCACTTTTAGTTTAAGCATCCATTTATTTAGCACATTTTTAAAACCAGTTACAGTCACGGCGATTTAGAGTATGCGTAGTTCAAGGGTCAAATTATTTGAACACAGTTCAATACCCACCAATATATTTTATATTGTAGAAATTTTTTAATCATGTATAGCTATGTAAATTGATGTTTGTGTGATTGGCAGATCGAATAATTGAATCTAACTGATTTCCACCAATAAGATATCCGTTAAACAGTAATAGTGTATCTAAGACAGATGACATCCACCAGTTGGACAACTGTTAACCACAAATTAACGGTGTATATTTTGGAAAACGGTAGATGTCCACCCAAATGATAACTGTTGCACATTCATTCACAGTGTATCTCTGAGACGATTGATATTCGCTACTGAACCCTATACATACACGCAGTCAAGTTTATAAACTTTGAGACAACCAATCTGACATCTATTGCACTTAATCCAATGGGATATGAGGTTTTATACCTATGATCGGTTGATATCCACCAATTGGACAACTATACGTCGTTAACTTTTTTTAAAACAAAAACTCTGTAGATAATTTTCGCCAACCGGCTTACAATCTGTTACACTTAATACTATGCAATATAATCTTGATATCCACCGGTTGACAACTTCTTATACACGGTACAGATTCAATGTATATTTGTAGACCATTCATCCTATAGTAGACTACATACTATAACGTCTATGTTGAGGACTCGCGGATTATGATGAAATCGATAGCAGCTGTACCGCGGTATATGAGACCGTTTTATGCCGTGTCTTTTGTCACTTTTTAAAAGATATAATAACAAAAACGTCGCTTTTAATACAGTGTTGCTAAAAGAATACTGTCATTATCCATTCATGTTAAAGTTTTTAACACTAGTCACTTTTAACGAAAACGTCGCTTTTAATACAGCGTTGCTACTAGAATAATGTCACTATCCATTCATGACGTCGCTTGTACATAACACTATGTTGGATGGGGAGTTGTTACTTTTATAATGTTGCTTACAGAATAATGCCACTGTTCTCTCACGACGTGCTTTTTAACACAACACCTTGTTTTTTGTTACCTTAAACATAGTAGTACTACAACTTTAAATACAACGTTGCTACTAGTATAATGTCACTGACCACATGGGGTCGTTTTTAAACATATATAGTAACAAAACGTGGATTTTTAAATACAATAATGCTATTGAATAATGTCACAATCCATTCATGTGGACGTTTTTTGTAAAATGGCTTGTTTCTAATATTCTACTATCGCGATTTATCCATGCGAATTAAACGTGAAATAATGCTTTCCTGTTAGAGAGAGTATCATCAATGAACTGTTTTATCAATAATAGTCTCTTATCAATGAAGCACTAGTAGCTGACTATCTGAAATAGGAACAATGACTAGTCGTTGATAAATTTCATTCATTAACAGGCCGCGAGTTTCATTTAGAAGTCCCGTAAACGTTTCTGTGCTTTATTTTCATGCATGAATAAAAATAATTTCTTCTTGCATCAATGTAATATATTCATTATATTAGCACTGTATTGACCGAAATGGAACAATGGTGTTTGATAGCTTGGGATAACGTTAATCATATCAATATCTGGACACACGAAACGAAAGTTCACCAATTAAAATATCATTCAATAGTACTTTAATTAATGTCAATACAGATAATCGAGGCTCTTATGGAAAGCGATTCTACTGGGGAAAAAAATTTAAATAGAAAAAGTTCCCGAGAAAATGTTGACGAATTGCAGTTGCAACACCAGGCAAACAAAATTTTGACGATGATAAAAATTTATCATTATTCCGCTACACGATCCGTGAAGAGAAATTTTAGACTTATTATATCCAGCAATTACGAGTCCGTCTACAGCGTCAACATGAAGCTTAAAAATTAAATGGATGCAATGGGGAAATCGATTTATTACCCAACACCGTACATATACATCTGCAACATCCAATATTGACTTCTACGTTGTGATAACATAAGTTGAATGGCGATGGGACTTGCCAACACTAATCGCCACTAAACTATTTCCCCGATATCAAAAATCACACAAAAAGTATCTGGTAAATGACTTTTAGTAGTCGACATTAATCTAAGCCAAGACGCAAGAACGAAAGAAATAAAGGAAGGAGTTTTACTGGAGAAGACAACCATCAATCAACGCCTACTGCTCTTCACAGTCTTGTCTATTTAATATTTTCACGGCAACAGGATAAATTATTCTTCAATTAATTCCGACGTATGATGAAAGTGTCTTCTTTTATAACAAATATCCACCCCTTATTGCATTCCTCATTTTCTTGAAGTGTTTCCCTGACTAACAAATCTTAAATTATGATTTATGTTCATTTACCAATGCAATCTGTATCCATAATTATGGAATCGTTATCCAAAGCAGGAGGTCTATTTGCTCACAATTTACAAATCCACCGATTTTCACATTAGTTGCAAAGACACAGACAAATCTGAAAAAATACAAAATCAAAATATTGCAATGTTTATATATGTAAATAATTTTTATTTTATGCAGTTCATTTAGTAGTTACGGCAATGCTAACTGCAAGAAATGGCCCCTTATTTATACTACAAATTTATTATATTAGTATTGTTAAATTATTCCAGTGGCATTTAGTAATAGTATTGAACTGGACTATACAGGTCACAATTATGTGGAATAGACTTACTGCTTATTACTGAGCTACGTTTCGACTAGTCTTCTGATAATGACTAGAGAAGCCTAGTCGAAACGTCGCTCAGTAATAATTGTATTCCATAGAATTGTGACTTGTATATACATATATTGTTATGTTTTAAATATACTAGTATCATAATCTTTAAATTGTATTTATCAATTGAGAAATCCCCAGACAGAATACAATTTTTATGGGGAAACAATCGCTGCTGTACAGGGCTCTCACAAGCTTACGTGCCCTAGCCCAGGGTAAATGTTTCAGTATCCCCCCTACCCTTCCGTTGCATGCTGTAACTGTTTTGTTCAGTGTCCGCGCTCAGTTGCTTTTTATGATAAGTGTGCACTTAGATTTGGAATTTGCAATTTCAAATCTAATAATTTGGAACGGGTGTTTATCCGGTGAAGGGATCAGATAGGTAAACTAATTAGTTGTGTAAAATTACAATTTCTTTAAATTCAAATTTGTTTAATTGAGGGGGGGGGGCTGCCAATTTGCTATTTTATTGGTAAGACATGAATTTTGAATTTCGCATTTGGAATTTGGAATGGGCTTTCTGGGCTTTCGTACATTTACTTGATCAACTTAAATTGACATTATTACGAAAATTCTAAATTCGACATAGGAAGTATGAATCTTCATGTTTACTAGTATTTCTTCATATCAGCTGACAACAATAAGACAAACAAGCAGATTGTACGATAAGTATTACTTGGTATTTTTTTATAAAGTAAATTGACAACAATCAAAAGAAAACCAGCTTGTATAATAAAAAAAAGTGGGAAGAATATAATAGGTTGACGGAAATCGATTTAAATACGTCTATATCCATTCCTGTCTCTATACAGCTTTACGTGATATCCACCAATATAGTTTTTTTCTGGTCATATATCTCGGTCTAACGGCTTCAAATTACTCTCTCCTTAAAGGGACACGGAATTGTATTTGAGGAGAGGGGTGAAAGAGGGTATGCCTGTTCCCTGGTCCGTGTTCATCCAATTCAAAGAAGATATTGTTTACACAAAAGTGGGGAGCCACGATGCATATGGCTAAGTAGGTAAAACGCTAGATCGCCCGGAGGTCGCGTGTTCGATCCCTGCATTGGCCGTGAAAGTTTATCGAGATTTTATGGCGTGCTTTCCCCTTGTCAGTGGTGCTGGACAAGAGCAGTTGTCTAGTCGTTCGGATGAAACGAAAAAACGTGGGTCTGTGTATACATTGGCTTGCACGTAAAAGATCCCTTGGCAGTTGGTATTCGATATAAGAGTAGGCCATAGTAGCACACTGTATGGCGTAGGCCCGTCTTAATTAGTCCAGTCGGAGCAAAACAGTAGGACGTTAAACCCCATTTCATTTCACACAAAAATGTTAATTTTATTTCGAAGAATCCCGTGCTTTAATTCGTGAAATAAAATGAAATGGGATTTAATGTAGACAGACATACGCCATGTTGTATGCTATACTGGATATTGTGATCGGACAGCGTTTCATAGGGTTTTTAACCTAATCCGAATGCCTAGAAGTTGTTCCTTGATTGGCCATATGTCCTACAGGAATGACAAGCTGTAATTTTTGTTTGTGCTCACAGTTAACCCCACCATCAACAGAAGACACCACCCCATCATACATATTTGACTGCCAACAACTTGATCTTAGTGTATCATTCGCCATATGAAAGCTTAATGGTAAGCGCAGGGTGAACCGCGCCACGCACAAACAATTAAGGGACGGACAGGACAGAATATACATACACACACACCAAAAAACAACAAACGCACATCAAGTGAATGGATCCGGGGGCTAGACGTAAACTAACAATATAGGAAGCAAATCGAGAAAAAGGGGATATTCCCCAAACGTATCATACTAGTGTGAGTCATGGTCGGCTATGTGCTACATGAAATCTAAATGTAGGCACATTGGAGGAATAAACTTTTACCAGCAACCATAAGTTACTGTGTAGGTAGCTCTTTCCCTTTAACCAGAGATACACAGACGACTTTTTGGAAATAAATGATGAAATAAAGATCTGCAAGAAGTCAAGCGGCTGCTGGATGTTAAATTACTTGACTGTGAATAGAGAAGTATCCGTGAAGTTTGGGTGTTTGAAATGAGCGGGTAATGTGACAGTTATTGGTATTGAAAGAAGAGTTTATAATGACCAAGGTTTCTTTACGTTTATCTACTAGATGTTTTCATCCCAAACAGACCGGCGATCTTTTCCTCATATATCTCGACCATAGATGTGTTTTGATAATCGAGATCAATATAACTAGCCGAGTCTACTTATCTGATTGGACAGCTCGGGTTAAAGGGACGACATGGTGAAGCGTTAAAGATTTTGCCAGACGAGCGGAGAGGGTGTAGAATTTCGATTCAAGGATTTATCGTCTTAATTTCCTGCACCAACCAGGCTAATGAAGACGGGTGTGGGACATGGAGTATGCCATGAGGGACTCCCGTCAAAAGGCAACACACTGAACGGGCAACATTGCCTTAAGTACAATGCATGCTGAATGCCCGTCTTTATTAACCCATTTGGTGCAGGTAGAATAGTAGGACATCAAACACAATTTATTTTAATTCCATCTCTACCCTATTTAAATATTAATACTATTATTGTATAACTGATTTCACGACACACCAAATATGCATTATGCAAGAGTTATACCAGTCTATTCCTATTATATAAACTACTATTTAGACATTTGTAACAAGCTCATGATCAAATCTCTAGACCATAGGATGGTCAAGATGTTAAATGGATTATAACGTATTATTGTAGCAATGGTACTTTACAATCAAGACTATCTACCCTACATCTTATTAAAACTTCAAACACTCACAACTTGGCTTAGAATAAAGTAATTTGACTGAAATATTCAATTTATTAATTTTGCATTATCTAAGTCTTAAATATAATGCCAAGATTATAAATGGATTATAAAACCGCGTCATTTAATAATTAAATGTTAGAAAGCATGACCAAGACTTTGTTTATTATCGTTACAATGGTACTTTACAATCGAGTCTGTCTAAGCTACATCTTGTCAAAACTTCAGGGAATAATAATCGGAATTTCTTTCCAAAGCAGTGGAGGACAGTATCGCATTTTTAACCTGTAGTACCATCACAATCCGGGGTATAATCACCATCCGCGTAATTCTTTTCTTTGTGTTGTTCGAAGAGTTTAATAACCGCTTCAATCAAGGATGATATCCCAGACATCCCAGACAAGTTGTTTTAGCGAAGTTTATTAAGTGTATACGTATGGATATTTCCTGTGGTAGGAAACCGGAATACACGGAATAATGAGGTTAACAAGTCGCCCTTGTCAT